TTTTATATTTAGTTGTATTTGTTTATTTGTTTATTCATCTTTATCATTTTTATATTCTTATCATTTTTATATTATTATCATTTATTCTCTTTTTATTTATATTAATATTAATTTTATATTTATATTTTGATTTTATTATTATATCATTTATTATCATTTCTCGTTTTATTTATCATTTATTCTTATTATTCTTTTGTTTTTATATTCTATATCATATATTCATATCATTTTCATTTATATTTTATCACTTATTATATGTTATATAATAATCACATAACACATATGTTTGAATATATAATAAATATCATAATGAAATTATACATATAAATAATAAACATAAAAATAATAAAATATTTTTCATTAATAAAATAATATTAATTATTTTACATCATTAGATTATACAATTTTTATTTCATATTTCTAATTTTTACATTAAAAATACATAATTTATTTATTCTTTCTTTTCTTTTATTACTCTTTGTGATTTATTATCTCTTTTTGATTTATTACTTTTTATATTCTTTATTCTACTTTCTTTTTTTATTCTTTCTTCATCTACTTCTACTTCTTACTTTATTTTTTTCTTTTATATCTTTCTTTCTCTTCTTTTTCAATTATTTGCTTTTTTGTTGCCTAATTAATTGTATGTACAATTTCATTAATCAACAATCCTCAAGTAATTAATGATTAAAATTTAACACATAATAATAACGATGAAAAAACAAACGTAATAAATGATAACAATCAAACAATGAATGATTAAAATAAATATAGAAAAATATATGATAAAATTTGTTTTAATAACAAAGTAGATAAATAAAAAAGAATAAATCAGAAAATGAAGAAATAATATAGAATAAGAGAAAAGATAAGATAATGAAATATAGTATATAATAACAAATAAATCAAGAATAGAATAATAACTCAAAACAAGTATAATAAAATATGAAAGTAAGAAAGTAACAATTAATAGTTATTATATCATTTTAATTGATAATTATTGAAAATAATAAATGATAATGATAATATTAAAAATATAGCAATTATTATATATTGTTAATAAATAGAAATAAAAACAAAAATGTTCAATTAGAAGAATAAAAGGGTGATGATAACACCAAGAATAATAAACATACATGATGCTCCATCGATGTTTTTATGATTATTTAAATCTTCATCTTCACTATTATTTGTTTTATCATCGTTTTTATTTTCAGATTTAGACTCTGGTTTATTTGTTGGAGTATTTGGAGTTTTATTGTCTGTTGTATTTTTTCCTTCTTCTTGCCCATTTGGAGTTTTAGGTTTGTTGTTTTCATCACTTTCATTTGTTCCGTTATCATCTTTTTCTTTTGTTGTATCATGTTGTCCATCATTTGTTCCACTTGTTTCTTGTTCTTTTTCTTTTCCTTGTTTATTTGTCTGCTCAGTTTCTTGTTTTCCATTCATTGATGGTGTTTTTGCTCCTTTTTGTTCGGATTGACCCTGTGGATTTTGTTCATTTGTTATTCCTGACTGTCCTTTTGAATTTTGTTCATTTGTTC